CACTACATGGAAATGCCTACCAGACAATATTTACAGAATGGTGCAGATTCAGCAAAACCCATCATTTTCAACAAGGGATTCAAGATAGGTTTTGCCTAATGCAAACACAGAAACTGTTCCATCCATAATTAGCTGAAATAGTTAAAAATGTATATATATTAAATATATAAATATGCATGAAAATACAATGTATATATTATAGATATAACACATATAATATATAATATACATGATATATAATATATTATATAAATACATAATATATAATGTACATTAAATAAAAATATATATAAATAAAAATATATATGTATATAATTAAAAATTTATATAATTATATATATCACTCTTACTGCCAACATTTAGCATCTCTTTCAGCAGTAATTTAACTTCTTAAGTAATTTTTGTTTTTATTCTTATAACATGTTCAAAAAAGAACAAATTACCAAGACTGAGTTGAATTACATGGCCTAAAGTCACAACTGACATGTAAGAGTTTTGCCTCCTGCATTTTCAAGGTGTATTTCTGATATATTTCTGCTCTGAGATATTTCTGTAATCCAGGAAGCTCATACATGAAGTATTACTACTAGTTTTGTATTAAATGGACACAATTCTTTTAGGCACATTTTTTTTTTCCATTCTTTGTTTTGTCAGACATATTTTCTCCACAGTTAATAATGCATGCATACCTATAAAAACTCCTTAATTTCTCCACAGAAGTCCTAAATTTGCCATCTAAATAATGATAAGGAGGAATGTACATATTTACTGAATTTTTATGTATTGTACCCTTGGTGAGTAAGCTGACAATTCTGGCTTTTCAACTTTACGACCTTTGAAGCGAAACAAAGCAGGAAAAATATGAAAATTGAAACAAACTCTTATCTTTGCCTTAAATATGAATTAAGAACACTTTCTACTCTCTTGATTACACCACAGCCTGATTAACATTCTTTAACTGGTGTTAAGTCTTGATTTCATGCCCAGGCTGTGACCCCTGCCATTCTTTTGTACCATCCCAGTATTTCTGTGTCATTAACTAACTTTTTTTTTTTTAATTATTTTTCCCTGGGCCAGTTTTTTTTCATTCTGTGTCCAGTTTTGGTTTACAACCATTTCCAGCTTTATATAGAACTCCAGTATTTCAGATCATAAAACTGGTTGATGTTCAAAACAATCAAGAATATGCTTAAAACCAAATCTCATATTACATTATTCACAGAACCAGTCAAACTGATATTTTATGCTGTAGGAGAAGTTAGGTTGTCCTAAATCTCATTCAAAGAGGTTGTAACAGTGATCAGTAATTTAGGGAACTTGAGTCTGTGCTGATTCCTGGCAGGTAAAGCGTTTCAGTGTCTCACTACAAGCTTTAAAACACAACATATTGTCAACTGAAGGTGCATAAAGAATCTCATACCTTAAAACCAAAGTTCCCCAGCAGGTAATCTATAAATAAGTTATATATGTAAACTGGTTGGTTTTGTCTGTGCATTGTTTAAGCCTTTATGTCTGTTTCGAGTAAGGTTTTTTTGAACGCAAGCATGGAGGCATTATTAACCCTGAACCCTGCTGGGCCAGGGCTGGACAGACCTGGGTCTGTAAGACAAAGATATCCAAAATTCACCCAAAACTGCATGCATCAAGCAGAGGAGTTCAAATGTGAGGCATCTGAATCCAAGAAGACTCAAAGTACTGCCTTGAAAAAACAGTGCAATACAGGAGACATAAAAAAGCACAGTAGAGTCTCTTAAAAAATGCTGTGAAACTGATTATTTATCTTACACTATAAATCATGCAAGCTGCAGGTGTCATGCATTCCTGGGAATAATTTTGAAAGCATGAAAATTCTAGAATCACAAAGAATTAGCACCCTGTGAATGATACCATCTAGCCTGGGAGTATAAGGCTGATTGTAAGCAGAAGTCTTGAAAGTCTCTTTATGCCTAGATCTGTCAGATCTTCAGATAATTTTTAAGCAAAAATGACACTGGAAGAAGGGGTATTTTTATTTAAATAACAAAAAAAAAAGCCACTTTGATTTCCACAGAAAGGAAGGCAGGGGGCAACCAAGTGCAGTATAAAGACAATAGTGTACTAAAGCATGAAAGCAGAGGAAATAAATGACAATAAGGTGGAGGTACACTGCTTAGCAGGATTTCTGACATGTTAGACAAATAAATTGGTGCATTTGGTCTGAATGAAGTATCCTCCTACACATGGACATGTTGAAAATACAGAAAAGGAGATGAAGGGGCCAAAGCTTATGTAAAAAAAAAAAAATTATAATTGCTATTCTGATCTAGATCTTTAAAGAAAAAATCATGAGAAAGTTTGCCATATGCTTTAATGGCAGCAACTCTTGGCAAATAGCAAACCACAAGCTCCAAAATTCACAGTAGTGATACTGTAAGGTGTCCACTGTATAGTACCATCTGTTAGAATAAAAGAAATAATAAAGAAGAAAACAAACGGGAAAAAAAAAAAAAGAGAGAAAAGTGATCGAAAATTACCTGTGGAACTGCTCACATATTACTGCAATTCACTACCCATGTTGCTCATGGGAGATTTTAACAATACAGATCTGCACTGAATAATGCAAGCAGCCTAACAGTGATGAAAGTGACTCCCTGTTGCCTGCAAGAAAATTCTGATACACAAAGTGAAAACTCCAGCCCCAGGAGAATCTGCCTTGGAAGAAGTACTTTATTTATGGATACTCCAGAACTAAGGAATGGAGATAATCATAATTGATAGCTTGAATTTGCCACAGAGGCAAGAAATTGGTTCAGGGAGTGGAAGAACAGAAGGAGACGCAGCTGCATCAAGGAAATCCTGAGGCCTTGAGAAATGTGAGAACTAATATTGAATTAATACAGTTTAGATTTTGCATTCAGAGGATGGGGAAAGGTGCTCTCTTCCCTTTCCATGTTTACTAAACATCTGCAGGCAAATTCTGTGGAGACCAGATGTCCTGTGAAGTCTCTCTTAACAGGGTGATAAGCTTATTCCAGAATGGCTGAGTATGTTTTGAGGCTGTCAGTGCTCTCACAATCCACTTTGATTTTGTCTCATCCCCTGATTTCCAGCAATGAGAAGCAGCTGGTTTAAATACCATTTATGCTTGAATTGCTGAAGATAGCAGTATGAAGGAAGGAAGAAAGAAGGAAAGGAAGAAGGAAAGGGGGAAAAGAAAGAAGGAAAGAGAAAGCAAGAGACAAGGGAAGGAAGGAAGAAGGAAAGGAAGGAAAAAGAAGGAAAGGAAGGAAAGAAAGGAAGAGAGAAAGGAAAGAAGAAGAAAGAAAGGAAGAAGGAAAGGAAGAAGGAAAATAAGAGATAAAGAAGGAAAGAAGGAAAGAAAGAAGGAAAGAAAGCCTTTCCCTCTTATTTCCACTCCTGTGACTAGTCGGAAGGATTTTGGGTGGGTATCCCACAAGGCTCTCAGGACCTGAGTGTAACAAAACAGTTGTCTCACACCTGAAAAGTGCCACATGTGAGATAAAATGGAAGGGAACTACTTAGAAGATTAGCTTAGTGGAATTAAATGGTGGAAGTAAATGGCGGAATTAAAAAAAAAAAGAGGGAAAACTTAGTAGGAGCACTAGGAAAAACTGACACTTGATGCTGTTGAGTAATATGACAAGTCATTATTACAAAGCACTGGTATTTGGGCTACACTAAACTAGACAAACTATTAGAAAATGCAGCTTGTACGATGCATTTTTGCCTTTTTTATTTTAGATGTAGGATATTTTACATATTCTGTGATGTGGCTTAGCAATCTTTTGAGCTTTGTGAGGTAATTCTGAGACAGCAGTTAGTAATTTACATAATTAGCACAACCGTATTTAATTATATGATTACTGTAAATATGTGTAAAACTCTAATGGCGTAATTAGAACGTGTAATAACTTCTTGTAATTACATAATTAAGTATGATGACATAACCAAAATTCAACAGCAAATTTTGAAGAAAACTTTAATAGATGATAATTTTTATTACAAATTCTTTCAGGTAGCCATAGAGACCCTTAAACTACTCAAAGCAAATCCTAATCTTCTGTTTCCCTCTAGAACTATGTACACATTATGTTGAGTGCCTCAAATCTTTTTTTTCTTGTTGTATACAAATCTGGGAATTCACTGAAGCTACTTAAAAAAAAAAGATCACATCTTGTAATTTGTGGTTATTTCTCCATTCTGTTTTTTTCTCTATTCTCCCCCATACATCCACAAGGTGAACACAGGAAAAGGAATCATATTTTTCAGTTTTGTTGTGGTTTAATCTTTTTAATATTCAACCTCTAGCACTTTTTTCTTCTTTACAGTATTTCAAACTCAAGAGCCTCTAATATCTTTTAATAACTGTTAAGGTATATAACATTTCATTCCATAGCAGTTTATTCTACTTCTGTTATTTCTGGTCTTCAAGATCACCTAGTCTATCAAACATGAAGAATTTTGTAGTAACAACTTTAGGAATCAAACCTTTATGATCCATTAAGAGTCAATGTTACCATAAAATCATACAAGATTTTTCCCAGGACAGATCCTGGAGGAACTCCATAAATGACTTCTCCATAAATCAATGGTCTAAATTTCAGAGGCCACTGACATGTCAGAAAAAATAACTTATATTTTGGCCCTGGTCTTACATTTGTTTATATGTGCTAATAATTACTGTTGAAGCCAGGATATTTGTTGAACCCCTAGTTGGAATTTTTCTGCTTTATGCTACTTAATCCTTCTTCTTTGACTGAAGATAATGATTTTTCATTTTGCAAACCTTTCCTCAATTTCAGATTCATTACGTGAATGCAAGAGAGATTAGGTCTCTGAATTTTCCATTTTGAAAAAAACAAGATGGTTATTTTGAGTATTCTGGATTTGTAACAGAGAGAAATATTTCCATATTTCCATAATATATTATTTTTTTTCTGTAAAAATAAAATATTATATTTTATTTTATTAAATGGAATTTACAAACAGGCTGTACTTACTCTGTTGACAGTTTCTTCCCATAAATTCACCTGGGCATTCACAGGAATAGTTGGCAACAAGATCTGTACAGATTCCACCATTCTTGCAGGGTTCAGATTCACATTCATTCACATCTGCACAAGGTACATGGGATAATGTCAGCATTAAAAGAGAAAAGGTAAAACTGTAAGCACATGTTTAAAAGAACTAAAAAAGGAAGGTTTATTATGTCCCTTGTACAATATAATTTAATGTTTTGCTCAGGGATTTCCACTGTAACTTCCAAGAGGACATCAGGGCAAAAATCACAGTTTGTTCTTAAAAAGATAAACTGAAGGAGTTCTGCTGGAGTAATCAGTAGTCATCCCTGCAACTTCAAGAAGTGTAGCTACTTCTTTATCAACAGATGCCAGTTAAGAATGTCTCTCAGTTCATCTTAATTCATTACACATCTAATTGACAAGGTTGTTTAACCGTCTAAAAAATTTCCTTTCTGTGCATGAGTTAGTGGGCAAATTGAAACTAATAACTCCATCTAGAAGCTTGCAAATTTCATTAAGCTCAAAAGACAGAAAAAGTGGGTAATTTCACTTGAGTTTCTCTCTTCCGGCACACTTTGTGAAACACTGCAAGAATAACACTCTCTAGGTGTTTTTCAGTGTAGTAAACTTAAAGTATAATATCAGATTCTTTCAAATGTGACATGGTATTTTTCAGTCACCATAAATAGGCAGAATGAAGGATAATGCTGTGTCATAAATAAAATCCTCAGTTTCTGTATTTATGTTTATTCTGCATGGAGTAGAAATGGTTTGTAAGGATTTTATACATCATTGCCTCAAAGGGCTGCACTGTTGGTACCATATTTGCAATATGGTAGATGATATGGTAAATATGGTAGATAATATATTGGTAATAGGGTAAACCACTGGTGAGCAAAATGTCCTATGAATTGAAGTCATTATCCTTGCTGTTGTATTGTTGTGTTGCATCTGTCCTCAGAATGTAAATCAGGTTTGTGCTGCACACACAAAAACTTAAGAAGATGCTATAAAAATGTCTAAATCTTATGCAATACAGCCTATGCAGAAGATGCAGAATTCAGTTGTGTCGACAAAGTTGCTTCATTTTTGGTAGTTTGAGCATGTAACTTTTGTACTTTCAATTTGATTTTTTTTTCATTTACTAGTAATGTGTGTTCAAAAACTCAATGTTTTAATACACTCAATAGGATAACTTTCCGATTTCTGTGAACAGAAATGCAGAAAAAGATCTTCAGCTAAATATGAAGGTTAGTTCCAACTATTTGAACTGGAAAAATTTTAGATTTTTATACTAAAATTGACGATGGCAATTGATCTCTGAGCTTCTTTTTAGTCTCCTAATGTTTTACTATTTCTTGCCTATAAAGTTATCACATATTGGCCTAATAAAAAATTAGTTACCTGATTTTCTGTCAATTAAAAGGGAAGAAGAGCAGTAATAGCTTAGAGTGCAAGAAATAAAACTTGCAAAGGGAAATGACTGAAGACCAGATCTGCTAAGTTCTAAATTAAATTCTTCCTATGTATTTCTAAAATTTAACAAGATTCTTCAGCTCCCTATTTGCCTTTTCAAGCAAAGCCCATTAACCTTACATTTTTATCAGGTTATTAATAATTTTAATACAGGCTAATACATTTGTGGGGAAAAAAAAATCAAGGTCACTGGGAGCTAAAAAACATTTTGTGAACATATGAACTATCTCTTCCTTGGTGAAATACAGGTGGTAATTCATCCTCTTAAAAACTTTTCTGTGGAAAGATAATATCTCCTCAACCTCGACCTCCCCCTCCCCCCCATTGCAATTCCTTTTGAAATATGTAGGAGAAAATATACAGCTTTCCAGAATATTTCATACTGTTTCTGCAGTGATGGAGAAAATAAAATGGACTTGAAGTATCAGTACTCTCAAAGTAATCCTCATATTCCATCCCCATGCAGCAACTAGCAACAATAAGTGGAGAAATATGGAAGTTTTTAATTACTATCTTTGTTATTTGGCTCCAACAATGATTTTTTTCCCAGTAACTTCAGTCCTGTCAGTTCAAACAAATATATCACATTTGATGAATGAGAAAAGATTGGTCTTGTATTTTGTCTGATACATTTAACTGAAAAGAAAATGACTTAAGTCTATTACAGAACATAAAGAACATTCTTTAACATATGATAAATAATAAATTCTACAGAATTATGTCATTTGCTGTTATTATTTCATTTGATTGAATGTGCAGATGTAGAATATTTAATTACAGGTGGTAATCACAAACTGTGGTCAGATTTTGTTCAAATTCCTGGATGTGCCTATTTTGATGCCACACTTTACACCAGCTGGTGTATTTCCTTCCTCTGAAACACCTACAACTCCCTTTTAAATTTGTTATATTGTTATTAGAAGAAGGTAATTTGGATAGAAACTTTAAAATGTCAGAGTTTCTGGAGTCGTTGCTTCTAAAGACAGTGAAGGCTCAAACGCATTCTAATTCTGATCACATAACATACCTACAAAAGAAAGATGTTCAAATTTTAATGTAAATTAAGTAATACACAGTAAAATCACTGTAGGGCTCTCATGATTTTTCAGGCAAGGTTTGGTTTTATGTAAGGGCAGATTCAGAACAGATTTTGAAGTGTTATTCAGGTAACAATACATTGCAGTAAGTAAAACGCAGAGAGCTTTGTGTTGCCAGAGAAATCAGAGTTCCTCACAGATGTACACAGTAAAACTGAGAAATACTGAGTGAAATGGACTCATTAAGAGGTAGAGGAAAAGTCTTGATTTCTAAGCGGGGTCCAGTTAGATAAAAAGAACCCAAAACTCAAACAATTAGGGAAAAAAAAAGGAAGTAAAACTCAAACGAACTCCACCCCCATGGCCAAACCCCCAAGATTTCCCTACTGTAGGTGGATTCTGAGATTGATAGTGACCCTGAAACACAAATATACTGTCAGAAACTCAGAAAGTAGGAGAGAACTTGGCTATATCACATAGCAGTTTGGAGAACCATGAAGAGGAAGATTTCTGTGCTTTTTTCTTCCTTTGATGGATTCTATACTTATATATACTTAATATATCCTCTAAGTATTTAATAAAACATAAATAAAGCCTACTACTGTACTTGCAAACATAATATAATTAAAAATATGTAACCCTCATTTTGGACTTTATCTGTTAAATACAGTAATATGTTTTCCTGAAAAATTATCCCACATGGAATGTGCATATAAATGATGTAACTGTTATAATAAAACTTTTAACTTTTACTTACAGTCATTTAAGTTCTTCAGCAAGCTACTTGGTATAAACCTGACTTTTTATAATGAAGAGACCAAAAAGCTCAATTTATCTATGTGGGTTTTTTTGCCAACACATTCTGTGTTTTGGCTGAAAATACACACCAGTACCTTGTTCCTGTCTCCTGCTTGCTTGTCCTTTAGCCAGCCCAAATTCCTGGTTCCTGTCACCTGGATACTTGTTTGTGATCCAGGACTGCCTCTTGCAGTATAGACTTCCTAATGTTCCCTCCTGCTGACAAGCACATTCTTTCATTATTCTTTGGTACTCTTTTTGTCTTCTGGCTCACACATGGGCTGCTCCTCTCAGCTGTAAGTCATGTTTTAAGTCAGTCCTCTATAGGATAGAATCACATACACAGCTTTTAAGTTCTGGAGTCCTTACCGGAAGTCATCATGGTCCTTAAAAACAGCACTGATTAAACATAATCTAGGTATGCTTTACTAACATTGCAAATATTTTTTCTCCCATAATAAAGTCAATTTAATGTATAGAATACAAACACCTCTGTATCTTAACTGGCTTCTGTGGGGACCCACAACCATACACTGGATAAAGATCAAGTCTGAGAAGCTTGACACTCCCTCCTGTGCCCCAAATTTTAATATTCTTAAAAAAACCCCAGAAAACTTCTGAATCTGGTTCTACTTCAAAATAAATTTGTTGATCACTAACAATGTGTTTAAATATCTTTGGAAACTGGTGTGGCATAAGGTGGAGAAACAGGTAGTAGGGAATAATTATCTTTTAGTTGGAGTTTCGTCTAGTCTATTCTCATAGCTGCTTGATGGCTCTCAGTTTTAAAAATGCATTCTAGGTGTTTTTTTCTTTATTGTATATTGATCCTCAGTGATTTAATTACATTAATAAGTCAGCCTTATCTCAGTAAGGTCACACAAAATCTTGGCTTGCAGAACTTTGTAATATACTGTCATTGTTTAAACTTGAGCTTTCAGATAGTCAAATTTTCCATTACTAATTTCCTAGCAAATATCATGACAGTCAGCTTACATACTCTTTTTTATTATTTGTACTAATATTAATATTTTTATGAAACAGAACAATAAAAAATCAAAAGAAAAAAATGCATGTACCGGTGGATAACCTTCAATTTTTTTACTAAAAGGTACAGAAAATATAAGTAATTTAAATAATTTAAGTTTTTTAATTATAGGTTGAAAAATGTTTCGAACCTTATTTCTAAGGTTAGAACAACCTAAGTGTTTCTCTATAATTTATGTAAACAATACTTCAGCTTTTATTGTTCCTTGATTTAACCAGGATTATACAAAGACATTAGTACATTACTGGCTCATTACTCTGATATGAAACATTTAAAAAGAACTGAGGCATATTCCTATGAAATATGTGAAGTTAGTATATATTATTAAACCTGATCTGGATGTATTCAATGCACGTTCAATACAAGACAGACACCTCTTAGAATTCAGTGGTTTGTTTGCTTTTTCAAAACCAGTTTACTGACCACAGTAGGCTTTGAAAGCACTGTGCAAAAAACCTGCAGGAAACTTGAAGTATAATGTCATGCTGAAGGGATTCACTCTTCAGATATCCTTATTATCTGATCTTCAAAAAGGGAACAGTTTTATACTTGAGACGAAAAAGTACAAAACTCTTGCTCCCTACCCTTAAGAGGCTAAACATTGCATTACCCCTACTCTCATAATTCTATATAAAGCTTTCCTCATCCTGCAAGCATTTGGTACAAAATCCTGCGGTAAATGTCCTCCAGAGTAATCCATCATAGGGCTATCTATTAGAATTCTTCCTGAAACA